TATTTTGACACACTATACAGCAGATTAATTTTAAACAAACAATAGATATATATTTTATCAAAAATCAGAAAATACCTGTATAATTTCCGATTATTTCTGTTTGCGTTCAACCAGCTGCTGGTCTGATCTGAAAGCATATAACATAATATAAATATATGATCATCAAAAAAATCGCTTTTAGTTGACTCTGATCTAAAAAAAATTGGACATCCACGTACGTGAAGTGCATATATCGTTTGGTAAGTTGATAATAGTTTTAATTGTTTTCATATTAACAATTTAATATGGGCATAATAATCTAATTTTTTATGCGACATATACAACGGCGAAACATAATTAAACAGATTACTAATATAATATAGATGCTTTTGATAGATTTATAATTTTATGGTTTTATCACGATTCCGTAAAAGAACATATGCATATATATTTTTTTTTATACGTATATATATGAATATACAGGTAAAGATAAGGTCGCACAGCATAAAGGGAATACTTAAATATGTGGATCTTAAAAAAAATAGGAAAAATGATCGTAAAAAATTTTTCTTCCACAATATTCTTCTTTCGAAACGACTTAAATTGGGCTTCAAACATTTTTTTATATCATTAACACGTTGACTGCAACGAAATTTTTCACGATTCTGGTCTAAGAAGCCAATTTGATTTAATCAAGTAATGAAGCGACGAAATAACTCGTAGTTGGCGTCCTGGGAAAATAAACAACCTACGAGATATTTCGTAGTTGGCAGTCAACGTGTTAAAAATAAAAAGAGATTTACGTATTCTCCTTATATGAGTACTTATATGACTACAGGGATATCCTGTATATGCATATATACACACAGCACAATTATATAACATATTTATTGGGATAATTAACAGTCGGTATGGAAATCGCAGCAAAATATAATTTTAGATAATAAATGGTCAAATATTCCAATATGCTGAAAAATATATCAGATTACGAACATATTTATGAATAAATTACGAACATTATGCATTTCATGAAAAGATATGAGCATTTATGCATTTAGGATAATCAGTCGCTATGCGACTAATAGCGCATAACCATTGGTCATCTTAAATGATACTGTAAATTACACACAAAAAAAATTACTAAATATCTAGTATATTTTGAATTTAGTTTGAATTACTAATTTGTCTTAGCAATTTTTATATTTTTTATCTGAAACACAGTTTCGCATTTCTAATGCATTGTAACCTCTCGTTATATATTTTTAATATATAACGTCGCATTGTGTTAGAAAAATATATTCTATCGTCTTATTTCTTTAAGTTATATACGAAGCTGCACCACATACCGCACCACATACCGCAGAAATTGACGCGTATATTACAGTCACATTTGGATGTTTCATTTATACGAGACACAATATCCCCGCGCGATGAAAATATTTTTCCTTATTGTAAGGTCTTTTATAGATAACGTTTTCTATTTCTAACAATTGCTTTTTGTAATTATACATAAGGCCATCCGTCCGAACTCGTACGAATGAATCCTCGCAAGCATTCCTCTCGTCATCAACTTAAAAGTGATCTATAATAAGAATTTCTTAACTCCTTACCTAATTGATTATCCATATTACAGCCCAGATTTCAATAGCTAGACCTCGACAACCTTTTGTTAAAAGCACGCGTTCAGATATTGCGGTTGTCGTAGGTGAAAAGATACACGGTCCAGGCTGATAAGCGCTTAATTCATCGTATAATTATTTAGAATAGAGAGATTGTAATTTTATATTATAATATTATCATTTTTCATACTTTAGATAATATTAAATATTACTTTTTTTTACATTTTTATTTATATTCCAGTATATATAGTACCTTATCATGTCACACATATTTGAAGATATTAAAAATGTATATCTTTTCTCAAGCGAGTCTCGAGGACAAAAGCACTTACGAAACGAAAAGTCATCTGAATAGTATTAATTGCACGTTAGTAACCTCACAATATATTTCAACCGATCGTATCAGTAAGATCAATAAGATTTCTCGTAAGCAAACGTTACAAAGTAATCTTCAGTCAGTTCGTGATACATTAATGTTACACGAAAAATCACCGAGAATAAAGGAATATCGGCAAAATGCAATTCACAATGAGTGGTCGATGAACGATCACTTTGTAATATTTGCTAATGCTCAACGTCCCACCCAAAGATTAAAATAAGATTACGCATAATAACAGAGTTTTACAAAATCTACTCACCTCGTCAACAGGTAGTTCATTGAGATTAGCAGTTTCGAGTAAGTAAGCCTATCTTGTGATTGCAGTCTCTTCTCCATTAAAAGACTCTTGATTAATTATGTTCAGTTCTAAATATTATGTCACTATTGTAAGCACTGGAACGTAGGAGACTTCTTCAAGATAGAAAATGCTGTTTCCCTATTGTTCATAACGATCCTCGAAGAGTCGGAGCAATGTACGAAATTGCTGTATTTTATGAATAATAGAAAAAAAGCATTCTATTGGCACAAGACCCTTTGACTAGAACCCTAAATATTCTATAATATCATATCTAAGTTCTGAAAAGATAAAGCTATTCATACTCATAGCGTAAACTATACACTTGGAACGCATTAATCAAATTATAATAATTCAGGTACACAAATTTAATTGAGGGTTCCCACTGAGATTTTTGTAATCCCAGTATCAGATGACCTATGTCTTATCAGAAAGTTTGCTGTGGAGAAAATGTTAGCTAATATGTAGTACGAAGTATTTTTCCACCCATGTTTTATACATTAAACTTTGATAACGATTCATACGTATCAGTAATGTATTGGTTTAATGTCGTGATTTTCTTCCAATAGCAGTAACACCAAAGCTAAAGCTAACGAATACGACACGGAATCTGATATATTGAACCCGTTAACTTATTACTACGGCAGCGGTATCTCGTTTCACCGATACTGAAAGAAAATCACAACATTGATCCCGATACGTAACTTGTGTGTGAGAATCGTTCTCTCTACTATTCAAATCCACAAGATATAATTTTTTGCTTACGAATCCTATAAGAATTATATGTATAATATAATTATAAAAAATATGACATAGCTTTTTTCGATTGTTATTTGCATCGTACAATTACTTGTGGACCTTTTGGAAGAAAAATATACGTATAATCGTAGATCATCTGCAAATAAGTTCGCTAAGTTTCTTCTGCATATAATTTTGTACATGGCCAACCTTTCTTATGTAGGACATATAGAAAACTGTTGAACTGAAAGCAGAATGATGATCATCAAATGTTTTTATATAATAGCAAAAGACGTGGATTTTCATTTCAAGATTTAATCAGCTATATTCGCTATTTGTAGAAGACAAAATAATATATATTATACATATATATATATATGTATGTATTAGAGCATATAAAATATAAGTTTTCATCATATGTATGTATATATGTATATATCTTTATTGATGAAATTACGTTTCTGTTAATTAAGAGTCTTCACAAAGTATTAAATATTATAATTGCAGATATAGTATTAAGTGTGTATATATATGTATATATGTGTATACCTTACATTAAAATAATTACTTTGTGAATATTTAAGAAATAACAAAATTTCATATACCTTCTCATGATTTTCAGACACCATACTCGGAACACCTATACATTGACGGTACTAATTGCCAATGTTTAAGCAAGTGTACAAATCTTACATGCAAACGTTCACGTTCACTTCAGTCATGACGCGCGCGTTTTGTCATTTATATGCTACCATATTTTCCTTTATAATATAGGTAAGAGATACAAAATAATAATGCGTGACAAAAGTATAATCTAGATTCATAGGCGAGAGAAGCTAATTAAACGGACTCGTATAATTATAGAATGAACAACTTAAACATAATATTTCATTTACGCGATAAAGAGAAACGCAAAGAGGAAAAAAAAAGTATTTTTAAAAGTTTTAAAATAAATTATTTCAAACGTACACTTTAAGCAAGACCCTTTGGGTCTCTACTCGATAGTTCATAAATCTCATATTTACTTTACGGTACGATTCTTCAAATTTCATTAAAGATGCAGAACTGCAAGATGGATTGCGTCCGAAATAAGATATAGATTAAATGTTACTATTTAATTAATGATATTTCACATCAATCAAACGAGTGAGTAAAAACAGCAAGTAACTCAAAACAAATTTCTACAACGTATAAACCGATGGCGTTAATATTGATGAATGTAGAACCAATAATTGCGATCGGCAACGTACAGAGAAATCGGCCGAAGACCAAGGACTCGGGTATGTCAAAATCCCATATTACGCCTATGTCGAATATACTATTTTGCTTTCACAATCAAGTTACACAATTCGATATATAAATATCGATTACGTTCTTTTTCATGAGGCATATTCGCACCTCTCTCTCTCTTTCTCTCTCTCTCTCTCTCTTTCTTTCGATTACTCCTTTTCCTCTTTGATCAAGAAAGTGATCTGATCAAGTGACGTGATGTGATGAAGGCGAGGAGTGAATGAAGGACGCAATGCGAACAGAGTGTATATATATATATATATATATATAAATATATATATATCGGAGGAATTAACGAAAGATATTCCCACATTGTGTATCGCATTTAATATCGTCGTCGTTTGTTAGGATAATCATCTGGGCGATTACGGTCATTTCCTTGCCAACGTCCGCTGCCACCACCACTACCTCCGCGACTACCACCACCACCACCCATGTTACCCATGTCTACCCTCATGTCCATCAAATCCATTATCTGTCCGCGATCATCGTTATAACCCCCTCGATTACCGCGGTCCATATTGTTGTATGCATCCATAAAGGATTTCGGGTCCTACATGACATTACGCGAAGAATTGCGAATCGTACGGGGAGAGGTCGAGAGTTTGGTTACGCGCGATTCGCAGTTTTCGGATGTAGCATAATGCATTTTCGCACGGTTCAGGGCGACCATCCATGTTTGACAGCAGCACACAGGTCATCGTCAATTTTCGTCAAATCACATAGAAAAGAAAGGGGAAAACACAATGTTAGATTTGCTGTTTTGTGCGATCATGGCAGTGAACTGCGTGAGAGCAATTCACGCGCCAAAGTAACAAAGGGTAAATAGTTTATCGATATATATAATGTCGGTAGCGGATATATGTTCGGCGATATCGATTAAATGTTACAAGACCAAGTAAATGCCCAACGCAGACAGATAGGCAGCAGTCCCGTTACGTATGCATGTCCAGACCAGAATCAGACCGTTCACTGTGCGACACTTTAGAATTTTAGCTTCTCGTAATTTCTCTTCCAAATCGCGACTCCCGCTTTGTGGAAGCGTAAGCGCCTCAAAATCGCACTTCGAGCGTAGCAATGAATGCAACTGCTCGCAGCACTGTGCCAGCAATTTCTGAGCTTTACACTCGGGAGAGTTGAAGTATAACCGAGGAAGATAAATACTGATCATCGTGTGGAAATTATTGCCGTTTTGCTAATAAAATGTAACGTTCATATGTCCCAGAGGTCCCGCAAATTAAATTAAAATGTCTATCTCGCCTTGTACGTCGTACGGTAACAGATAGAAATCGCTCGTGCACAAGTATGATTGAAAATTTCTAGTAAACATAGGTCTAATAAATGTTACGAGATTAATGTCGGTCTGTGTACAAAAGCTTGTTTGTACACGTATATCAATCTTTGGCTTAAATAGAATCCTTGTGAAAACTATTACCCAGTCCCAGCACGCACACAGTATGACATCGACACAACTGTGTGGTGTATACATATATATATATATATATATATGTATGTATGTATGTATGTATTAGGTAGAATTTGCGAACGAGTTGACCTCGTGAATAATCAGAGTGGTAAGAGACCTGTAAAACGCATTATCATATTATCACATAAGTAGATATCATATAAGTAGACTGTCCCAAAATGAAGACGGTTAATCCACTTTCACGTGCGATGAACGCCGGTTCAACGAGTTAGTTAGAAATAATTACGTATATTGTACATATGACAACTTTCATCGCTTAATCGTCTAATTGTCGCTTTATCAAAGCTTTCGCAAAATTCTAAAACACCGAGCACAACGCACAGCAGCAAAGAGGCGTGATCAAGGTCTCTAAGCAAGCTATTTTTCCAGTAATGCTCGGGCTTTAGGAATGTATTGCGTATCGTGCAAGTAAGAACTATGTATGTGTAAAAAATATCCCTNATACCCATTAAAATGTGTATAAACAGTCCCCCCCCCCCCCGCACTTCCCGAGAGTAGTGTGCTTCAAATGCATATTCCAAAAGACCTACGAGGACTTCAAGGTGGATAAACAAAATTTCAGATTGATTTAGTCGAAGGTTCCGCGAAGTACCTGCGAGGATTAAGTTTCCCTAAAGGACCTTCTTTTATATGCATTTCTTAAAGATAATTATTTTTGCAGTTGGACAAGTGTCTGGTTGGGCATTCCTTGGTCGACAGATATCTCGAGTAACTATGGAACTATACGACTCGCGAATTGTCCGTTGCGTGTTCTGTTCATAATTTATCACAGGTGGCACGAGAAACTGATATGTACAGAGAGCACGCTGTACACAAAATTATGAACAATCAAGTTCCATAGTGAGCAAAATTTATCTTAATGTTACTACAGAATGAGAGATTACAGAGTCTCCTGCCTGCAAAACATATGGAGAGACCAACGGTGGCAGTTATATTTTTGGGTCATTTTTCACGAGATAAGCAATGAAGAGTTCAGAGATGTGTAACACACTATTGTAGGGAAACGCTTTATAAGCCACTTTGTCAAGATCAAACATATCACCTAAAGATGACCGTGTCTAATATGTCTAATATGTACGAATTGCTAATATTAATTAGTCGATTAATGGTGATCATTATCGTCGCTATTTTTGACTTCAGTATTTTCAGCAGAGAAATGGATGGAGAATAGATGTTTCTATCAGTTTACTAGTTTTTCCCCAATATTATAAATGTAATATAAATTTAATATAAATTAATATAAATTTAGATATCACATCATAATATTGCGCACGTTCGTTGATATATAGTGATAAAATCAGAGGTTTGAGCATAAATTCTTTGAGTATGCAGCCATTGGTATTGAAATTTCTGAAGAGATTTCGCATCATAAGAATAGTCGATCAAATGAATTCGAACATTCATGTGTCTTAAAATTAGATGCATAACGAAAGCATACCTTAGTATGTTCTGTCGGAAGAATGTGTCAGATAGATATGGCAGAAGTAATTACGTAACCACTTATACATGTTCACGTTCATAGATACGATAATGCCAGTAGGGATATCATTTTAATCATAGTAGTCAGTGGGTTGCTGACACTCCATATAATACTAAAGTGCCGCCTTTCTTTGTCCAAACATATCCTATATGCACAGCATTGATCACTCCATATGTTAAACTATTAGAAACTAGTTTTCATGTTTGGAGAATAATTTGAAGGATAAAAAGAACTGGCCAATTTTGCAGGCATTAGAACTCTGCTTATTTTGAAGAACATGCTCAACTGGGGATAATACTAAGATTTATCAACCTAACCTCGTATAACTTTGTGATGTTACACAGAGAAAAAAAATAGTTTTAAAGCTCCGGAAGTAATAAGCCAAGAATTCCGTGTTGATAGTAGCGACACTGTTCAAAACGATAAAAGGATGAACTATTAGAACGCATCCAGCAAGCATTACAAATGCTTTGAAGCGTTTCTGTTTCTTCATATGTTTTTCGGGTCCGAAAAAAGGAAGAAAAAGAAAGAGAAACGAAGCATTTCTAGCGCTTGCTAGACCTCACTTACATGTGCGAAGAGTGATGTGTTGCCAACAAAATTTTGTGTTGCGTGTCATTTCTTTATTATTTGCTTATTGTGCAAGTGCGATTTGTGACATACTTATTAAACCCGTAAAAATTGATAAAAACCAAAACCAGCTTGGAATTTTATACGTAGGAGCATATTTTCCAATCCTTTCAACAACTGAAACCGTGTGTTTTCCTACATGAATAAGGCCTTGTTCCACGTACCTTTTATGGCTCATTATTGATTATTAGGAGGGAAAAGAATTTTCGGTCTACTTTCATAATTGTCTTCAAGCGATCTCAAGTGTTTTATCCTAATATTTTTATGGCACGCAATATTCTTCAATGTGTCGTTTCTCGCCTATCACGTCACGAATCCAATATGACCGCGGCGACTACTCCGAACCCTTGAATCAATAACAGATATTCTCACATATAAGCAAGAATATTATATTTTTAGAAGATTTCTATTTTTGAATTAAATGCAAGTAATACTTGCACCGATACAAATTCAATCACTAAAAATTTTCTAACAAAATTAGAATATTCTTGTTTTTATATGAAAATATCTATCATCGATTTAAGACTAAATTTTTTTCCGTGTATACACCACATAAAAGTGCATTTTATCATGCACGATGCAATATGTCATCTATTGCAACGAATGAAGTTTGTATAAGTCACACGAGAGTATATCACGATATTATAACGCGTAAAAAGAAAAAAAAGGGAAATCCATAGAAAGAAAAGTCAACTGATGTGAGAAAGAACTTAATGTTTCTATATATAATTGAAATTATAAAGAAAATATAACGAACAAAAGGGATACGTTACCACTGGCAAGCCGCTTCCACCTGTAATAAATAAAACAAAGACGTTATTACAACACGGAACATAAAAATAAATGATGCTGAAGAAGCAAGTTATGAATTAAATTATATACAAGTGGCTATATTTAGCAGAAAAAGTACTTACTAAGGCCGGTGTTTATAGTCGGATCTTAAATTTAGAACCGTCTTTAGTTTATCTTCAGATGCTGTACAACCCATTTCAATAACTACGAAACACCTGAAGATTAACTTAAGACGGTCTTAAAAGTAAGATCCGATTATGAATACCAGTTTAAGTAAATACTTTTTCTGCTGTCGTAAGATGAAAGCCTTACAATAATTGCAAAGCTGCCGGCAATGCAACCGGGAAACTCTTGCTAAATTGCTTTTTCTGCTGAATGCAGCCATTATTCCGACATTTGCACTGGGCTATAATTATAGCCAGTATTTTATATACTAATGTATATGTAATAATGTATAGATAAATGAAACTGATATTAATAAAAAATCTATCTCTAATCTATTGTTCGATATAAAAACAATGTAAATAAACATGCATCATTTTTTATTCTCTTACCGTCAGGTTGACCATATCCATCACGATCATTGTTACTAACAGACTCGTAATTTTTTCCACCGCCAATACCGCCACTGGTACTGCGTATTGCTTGTTCCTGAAATATAAAACATTTATATATATTACTTATAAACCATAATGAACCTGTTTAATTTTCCAAGAAAGAAATGTAGGACATTAATTAAAATAATAATAATAATAATAATAATCTTGTCACTCAACGAACCTGCATAAACAAATTGTTTTCCTGTTGACGTCTATGCAACTCCTCCTCTTGTCTCCTAATGCGTATTGCCATTTCCTCCTGCTGACGCCGTCTCAATTCTTCTTCGCGAGTTCTTTGTTCTTCGGCTTGTCGCTCCTTCATTTCCCATTCTCTCTTTTGTCTTTCGCGATCCGCTTCACGCATACGTAATTCTGTAATGAAATGATCATTTATATAACTATAAAGAATAACACATTTTACTTAGTAATATTAAGATACATACGTTCTCTCAAAAGTTCCGTCTCATGTTCGTATCTGGCGAATTCCATTTGGGCTTCGAGTTTTTCTTCTTCCATCGCCATTTCTCGCTTGAGCGCTTCTTCCTTTTGTTTGTATAATTCATGCAATTGTTTCCATCGTGTACCATACTCGTGCTCGAAGCTACCCAATTGTGCGAATCGTGGACCAATATCACGGGCTTTAAAGAATTCCGGATTTTTGCGAGGTAGATTTTTGTCGGGATAACCGTCCACGTCATCTTGTTGCTCGAATGGTTCCACAACCACTGGCCGAAGCGAACTGTAATAATAAAACGCGAAAATATTCAACTGCCGATTTATCTTGTCGGTTTTTACGTTAATATCAACATTTTTATTTTTAATAGTTTTATATTTCAATTGTCAGCACACAGTGATTACATAATTAATCAACCATGTTTCCTATATGAAACTGTTATTTTTTTATTCCCCTACATTATTATTATTTGGCACTCGCAGATAATGATTCATCAAACAAGCGTGGCTTCGGGGATTTGATAAAAATTGTAAAATTTATTTTTAGCAAAATACTAATAACTTACGCCGTGAGGAAATAGCAGCCTTCTGTACATTTCCTCAAAGCTAGCTGAGCAGACGGCTTTCGGCAATATTCGACTACTCCTTCGCCAGTGCTTTTACCTCTATCGTCAACAATGACAATTGCACGTTCGATTTCACCGAATACACCAAAGGACTTTTCAAGAAGCTCGTTGGATATCCAAGGTGTAAGATTTTTCACCTTGATTGTTGATGAGTGAGGGGCGAAACGTACCTTCAACGCACGACCTTTGCGCATCGTACCATCTAATTCGTGCTTTGCTTTTTCAGCATTTATTCTATAATCCTAGATAGAAAAAATTTATCATGTCTTAACGTGTTACTGGAAAATGTATAATATTTTTATAATAGCAATGACATCATTCTATAAACAGCCAAAGTTTTTATCATTTTACATCAACCGGTAATTATTATAATCATATGTTGCATTATTCATTCATTCAAGCTTCGTTCATTCTTAAAACGACTTATAAATAATCTGTGATTACCATCCTGAGGAAGGCAAAACTCTTCTCTTTGTTAACAAACAGCTCAGATATTTCTCCATATTTGCGGAACATTGTCTGTATCTCTTCTTCTGTAACATCATTTGTCAAGTTGCCAATGTATAAGCGATTTCTGCCGCTAAATTTCTTCTCTGTCACTTCTTGAGGTGGAAGCTCATGAGTAGGTCCACTGATAGCCATGATACGTTCCATCAGTCGGTCCTAAAATAAACACACAGTTCAAATAGCTGTTACACTTTTGCTGAGGTAATTAAGAATTTGTCCAACGAATATAAAGCGTGAACTTACATCTTGCGATCTATTTCTATCGCCCATATTTCTGTCGCCGCCGCCACGTCCACCTCTTCCACCACCGCGCATTCCGCCGCGACCCATTCCCATACCACCTCCCATTCCACCTCCCATTCCACCTCCCATTCCACCACCCATCCCACCTCCCATTCCACCACCCATTCCACCTATGCCTTCCGGCATAGGGTTATCCATGCCTCCATCCATGGAATCATTCATTTTCATCTGTAAAATCATAATAATTTTTAGTGCTTAGTTGTTATCATCCTGTATGTTTTGCGATATTTTATATATTTTTTTATTATAGGCCTGCATACAATGGAAATATATTAAGAAAAAATGTTAAATATTATGAATAAGAATGAGGAATGATGTGATTAAATACAATGGAAAATATGAAATGCAAGATATTAATATAGAAATTGTCATATAGCTATTCATTTTATTCCGTTCTGTAAAAATCATTCTTACAATTCCTACTCCCAATATTTAATATTTATTCTTATTCCTAATGCATGCTCTATTGTGCACAGAGCCTAAAGATTCTTTAAAAACCTATCAAGTTTTTATATTGATGCAAGTATTACTTGAATTCAATTCAAAACTAAATATTTCCTAAGAAGATTACAGCATTCTCGCTTATATATGAGAATATCTATTCTTGATTTATGACTAATTTTTTTCCGTGTATATGTCGCAGGGAGATGATAAAAATGGAGATTTGATCAAATCCCTGACATACACATGGGCATTTTCAGTATTATTCAGTAATTATTTATTATTTCACAATTCTTCAGTAATTTATTACTTCAGCAATTAGTAACTCATAATTTTGCATGTTGTTTGCAAAACAGTACAAAACTTTTTTACTCAATTCGCACTCATGAAATTTGTCCAATGAGTTCTAGGACACTCTGTATACATTGATATCGTTTGATGTAACATATAAATTAATATAATTACAAAAATAATATTACAACCAAATACAGTATTTATTAAATGCGTTCGATTTTAATAACAATATATCTCCCGATTTGAGGTGCATTCGAGGATTTTTATTTTTAATTTTTATTTTTAATAGTTTTGTATTTCAATTGTCAGCACACAGTGATTACATAATTAATCAACCATGTTTCCTATATGAAATTGTTATTTTTTTATTCCCCTGCATTATTATTATTTGGCACTCGCAGATAATGATTCATCAAACAAGCGTGGCTTCGGGGATTTGACAAAAAGTAATTAATAACTCAAGGAGTAACAATTAACAATTCGAGGAGACACTATTTAGCTATCGCGCCATTCTATCTTTGTTGCACATATAAAGAGCAATAGAAATAGAATGACGCGATAGCGCTAAATAGTCGGTTCGTTCTTTATAGCTGCACTGCTGAACTAGTGCAATAAGTTAAAGTGAGAAAACATATACTTGTCTCACTTTAACTTATTGCACCAGTTCAGCAGTGCAGCTATAAAGAACAGACCACATGTCTGCCCAGACGTTTTCTTGGAGACATGCAACGCGGGAATTTAGAAATCCAGGACGCCATTTTAAATGCTAGCACGCCATTTTGTACTTACTAGCCCCATATTGGGAACGAATTGAAAATGACTCATATCTCGCCAAATACTTAATATTTACATATTCAACAGCGAACATTGACCTCAATATTTTTTATGCAAAATTACACATATATAAAAGATTACTTATTACGAGAATACCGTGAATCAAATTCCAACGGATGTAAGCTTTCTTAGGTGAATCATACAGATTTCTACATTTATTTATTAACTTTATTAATTTTATATCAGAAAAATCGCAAATTTGTTTGCATGTTTATAACTACAACAGGATATTTGTATAATCGCTGTCTCTTTCAAGTCTATTCCAAAATGTAAGTGGGGAAACTTCTCACGTGTTTCTTATCGCGCATACACACATCTGCGACGAATTCTACCGCAAATTATACTACAAATTCTCCATATTCGCTGAAATTTCCGTGAGAAACGTTTCCTCAAGAATCTCGGAACAGCCCGAGAGGCTGAACTCCGCACGCAGCCGATTTACAGAACTGCGTTTTATCTCGTCTACATAGCGCGGCGTTGCCAAGCGCTATTTCGTCATCTCCTCTCTCTACCTCGATAAAGATTTCTCGATCTCTCAAAAATTCTAAAGGGGGATAATTACCGCTTCATTTCTGCCTCCGCCGCCTCCACCGCCACCACCGCCGCCGCCTCCGCCCATTCCGCCGCGACCGCCTGAAAAGCGAGTGCCTCCTTTTCGGCCGCGAGGTCCGCGAGGTCCGCCGCCCGGTGGGTTTCGCTCACCGCGCTGATTCTCATTGCTGTTCTCGGCGGGCGCATTCGGTGGTTCCGATTTCACGTTCGATGTCTCCGTTCCGGCCATCGTCGTTGCTCAGTCCCTTTCCGAAGAACGCGTCCCGAGTGAAGAGCACGCGAAACTGTGAGAGTTCCAACGTTGCACTTTCTCTTCCGTTCAGTCGCCCGCTCCGAGCGTTCGTTCACTACGACGTCCAATGGCGGAAAGAACGACGAAGCGCGCAGCAACGACGCTTCACTCCGGCTTCTCTCCTACCACACCGGCGCGATGCATGCCGGGACGCCAGCTACGATGACGGGGATTGGCTGAGGCCGCTGCAACGCACGGCAATTGGTGGGGCTACTTAACGTGCAACGCTGCCACGTTTGCGACGCCGGATATCACTAAAAGAAAGGTAGCAGTTGCATTAGAATGCAATTGAAGTGTTGTGTAACGATTGTGTATGTAATCGATGTTCTTTAATAAGATAATATATTTCGCGGAACGCTGAGAAACAAGAGTAGCATTTGAATGTGAAAGTAGCGACGTAGTGTGATTGGATGTTAAGAATATTGATTTGCACTGCGGCCGACAGACGCCGCCACCTGTAAAAGGCCCGAGTTCGTCGCGATGTTTCGAATAGCTGGTAACGAGATCGCAATACGCGATGGAATTGGCTTGATTACTCTGCGCTGTTAATATCAACTTCATACACAGTCGCAAGTATTCAACATCTGATTATCATCTGCGAATTTGACATAACGAATCAGTCCTTCAATGGACAATTCAATCTGTATTAATGTAATTCGTTTGATCTGTTTTTCTTTCCTCCCAGGAGAAAGGGTTATATATGATTATATATAATTATATAAAATCATATATGAATTTTGCTTATGTACGTGATTACATATATGATCATATATGTCTATATGAAAAAAAAATGATATATGAATTTTGCCCATATACGTGGTTACATATATGATCATATATGTTTATATGAAAAAAATGAGGTTATGTCATTTAATTAAATGTTGATATCATGTGCTGTCAAAAGCACAGCCAGAAGCATTTACTTCGATTTTATTTGCATACAATTTGTAAACAATAGTATTTTTTCGTTGTGGACATATATGATTATACGAGTATATAATCATATATGGGTCAATTTCATGTATGATCTCTTTTTACCCGGACTCTTCATATTTTACTGCGATAATTTGTTCGCACAATTGAAATATCGAAGAAATATTATTCAAAATATATTAGTTCGTAGTTAATAGAATTTGTATTTTTAAAGTATTATATCGACAGATTTTTATGGATAAAGAATATTTGTTGAGACTTCTCTTGTTTCTCGGAGATATCGGTTTGTTCTTAAGATTATCTTAAGAATATCTCGTCAATAAAATGACTTTTCTGGAGCGAACCAATGTCCTCGATTTGCAAAAATGAACACAGCTCACGTGTGCATTCAGGTATCTTAAACTTGATGCTAATCGTATTCTGATTAAGACATTACATGCCATATTTACTTCAAAAAAAGACGCTACTTATTTAATCAAAAACTTCTTCATTATATGATAAATAATGTGCTACATGATATGAAATTGTACAATATTTACATGGAATTAATTTGCCACGTTACTAAACTTGGAAACATAGAAAAAAGCCGCATCATATGATATACAGGTGAATGCAGATACGAGATTCGCTGGTATGAGCTTCGACAGGTGCGATGACCCGAAAACGTTTTTTTTTTTTCGGAGCCGTGGGCGTCGATAGGTGTGACCTGATGTTTCCGGTCTGTCGCCTAAATCACGAAAGTCGTGAGCGCGCATTTAACCGTGATCACAGGCGCGATCGTAATCTAGGAGAAAAGCACCTAACGTTAATAAATTCCCGGTCGGTCGTCTACATATCGGGCATTCGTATCGCGATTTAAGATGGCGAATTAGGGTCGTAGCCGGTGATCTAGGACGGATCGGTAACGCCGCGACTTGGTCGTAACCCCGCGCGGTCGTTAGGCCCGCGCATAGAGTCTCGCGGGAATCGTGTATAGCTCTGTGTCGTGACACACGTAACAATCAGGACGACCCTCTGGAGGAAGGTAGATTGTCTCCCCGGCTGTCTCGGCGACGATCTCGAAAACTATGAGTGTATAACATCGCACGGCGCGCAATAAAGTCTACCTTAAGGCTGACCGAGGAGTATACCGAGGCTCCTACTTGCGAGGGATCTTTAACGGAGAAAGAGGAGACCGTCTGGAGATAAATGGCGACGGTACAGTGAACAAACCGAGATAAACGAGATTTTTCATCTTACTTTTGCATTCAGCGTTAACGCTCTTCGGTAATTTAAGGGAATGCTTCGTCCGTGACTCTCTCGCGCCTAAGATGGAGTGATTACTCCGCGGTAGAGCTCGGCCGTTTCTCTTTATTCCCTCGTGACAGCTTTTGAAACATTAAAAATCGATATTACGTCTCTCTTTCAGTTTACCGTTTTGTTTTTCGGCTTGAGCCGCTTCACTTCTGCGAACTTGATTGTCAAGAACGTTTCATTTCCGCCCGTGACACGGTCTTGAAAGGGACCGAAGTTATTATCTATCTACACACTGTGACGCGGACCAGCTGAGACTCCGAGCAAAAAATTGGCTTCATTATAGGACGCAATTAAAAGATGATAATGGAGGGTGCGAGGGAGGCAGGGCGGGAGAACGCGCGCTGATGTACCCGTTGAGCGTGATGTGTATACAGTGTCCCAGATCTATCGAGTAATGTTACAGAAGGCAGATTTTCATCGATTACTTGGAGCGACGTTTCCCTCGAGATAACTTCGCGCCGAGCTACCGATATTCCTCGAGCTTAAGATGACCGAAGATAAAGAGTTCCTTACGAATTACATACGGGTGAGTAATGAAACTCTCAGCCGTTAAAACCACTACGTTGAGAGAATACCATTTTGAGAAACTTAGTTACGTTGAATCATTTATATACACATATATCTGAAATTGTGGAAATACATTCCGACGTGTCCTCTCTCGACATTTTCTCGTCGAAGAGGTATCGATTCCGAGTCCCCACGGCGGGATTTATTCCCGAGGCCCGACACTTGAAGGAGCGGCGCAATTACTGGCTGGCTAAATCCCGGGCGGTGTCTACACGCACCGTTAAAATACAAAGCGGAAGAAGCTGTCCGGAGAAACGGATGAATTGCAATCGCTGCGGTGAAATATCACTCGCGGTACACCCCGTACAGAGGAGCGGTGGCAGGCAAGGCGAGACAGACGGGAGCGTAAACAAGGAGAACGCATCGCGGGGGTGGCACAACGGGGTACGAGGGCGAGGGGGTTATACCCGTCGCTCATGCGCGCCTGGAACCCCGCCCTGTCGCTTCGGACCACGGCTCTGTCCCGTCGAGGACTCTTCGCCGAGGTAGTCGAATAGTCACGCTTTAACCCGCGATCCGGCAAGGCGGAGGACGGTGCTCTCGTCAGGTACGCGCGAGTGCTCGGACGACGCGAGAGAGAAGAGAGGAGAGGAGGCGCTTCGCGAGGCTGTATCCGAGGATCCAGCGGAGTCCGCCGCGAGATCACGGCGGGGCCGGTGCGTGTCCCATGCACTTCGGTAAGGATCAACGGCGGCGGGTCGATCGATTCGCGACGGAGAGTCGCGTGCGACCGGAAGTTCGGAGTGCCGATCGTCCGTACCGCTGCGCGGCGATCGGTTGAGTGGACGGGATCTCCGCCGAGAGAGAGTTTTCCGCGCGAACGCTCCTTCGGAGCCAACTGTAGATCTCGCGTTCAACCACGACAGAGGAGGGAGCTTCAAGGTGGAGGCTTTCGCGCGGCCCACGAGGATACGTCGGCTTGCTCTCTCGCTACCGGACGGACCGATCTGCTATTACTTGTGACAGGTTGTCGAGTGCGCTGACCACTGTTGATTGCGAGCGATGCGGCGGCATCGTCGGCATCGTTCGGATGAGTAAGCGCTTTCATTAGTGGCGGATATACATATATATATATATATTTATATATATATATATACATACGTATATCGTTGACGATTGTAGCTTCCTGTAGGATAATCGGTCGGTCGTAACGCTCTCGCGAGGAATACTGATACACGGGGAATACGAAGAAGAAGAAGAGTACAGTCGCGCACCGTTCGTCATAAGTTTACAAATCGCGAGATATCCAGCTCGCTCGGCTCCTCGAATCCGTCGTTTAAATAGCGCAACGTGCGCTTCACTGATGCAAGAAGAGGAAGAAGAGGAGGACGAATAGCAGGCCTAACTTGGGATCAACGGACTAACACACACTCGTACGGTTTCCTAACGCGAGGGCCGCGAGCCTCCGAGTGATATCTTCCCCTTCACACGCGGCCTACCGTCGAAATGCGCGATTTCCCACGAAACCGCGGCGTCTGAAAGGTCGGGATCGATCGGCTCAATTTGATAATCTGAAAGAACCTTAGGCGTACCAAGGTCGTTATGTATAAGCGATAAGGCAGGGCCTGTCCACGGCTGGAAAGTGAAGGAGCCGAGACTCACTTTCTCTCTCTCTCCAGAGAGGGGGAGAGAGAGAGGTGAGACTCTCGAGCAGCTGGTACGTGGCCTATCTATCGCGACGCGCGGTTTCCAAGGACCCACTCGTCGAAGAAGATGCGGATGTAGCGCGGCAATCGAATTTCGCCGATCCGCTCGCTCGTAATATGTCGAGCTTGGTACACCGCGGGAAGGCGTGCTCGGAGGCTCAGGATATCGAAGCGCGGCCTATCGATCGCGAGATCGTCGCTCGCGTTCTTCGGCTCGCCAAAAGGAAGCTCACGACAATAGAGCGCCCGTCGATCAAACGATCACGGAGCATCGTCCACTGAATATTCGGGCCGTCGCGAAGTTCGTCATCATCCAAAATTACATCTCCAGTATCGTATCCCTCGGTACGGTTCAACGAGTCCTTCGACAGGACGCCGTGTTGTTCGGCGAGCCGAGGAAAACGGCCCCGCTCGATGCCTCCTAGGCAAAGACGCGATCGCGCACACCTGATCCCAGCTCACCCGCCGGACGGTTCGTCGACTCGAAGCAGACGATGGTCGACGACTCTGCGTCTCTGCTCGACAGTTGATCCTGACAGGATCAAAGCAACGGCCCACGAGAGCCCAGGCGCGCTCTGTGAGAAAGCGATGATCAGCTGCCGGTAGATCGGCGCGCTCGATGAGTCGTCGCAGAATCGAGCGTCGAGCAGCAGCAGCAGCCAGCATCGCCACCCGGGGAAGCCGGAGAGGAAGCTTCGCATAGCGTCGTCGTCCCCGACTCGACAGCCGTCTTGATGCGCGGAAGCAGCTCCGAACTGCTGCTGGAGCCGTGTTGCAGCCAGTGCCAGTGCGATCACGATCGGCATCAGCGTCGAAACAGCGGCGGTGGCGGCGGCGGTGGCGGTGGCGGCGGCGGCGGCGGCGGCAACGACTTCCACGNCGGCGGCAACGACTTCCACGAGCGAGAGCTACGTCGTCGCAAGCTGTTGGAGCTCGGGCTCGGCGCAGCGCGGCGCCGACCGCCACGGCGTACCTGCCGTCAGCGGCTTAATTTCTACGCCACGTCAGCGCTGGCCTTCGTCGCGACTTCCGGCGGCGCGGCGCTCCTCTTCCTGATGCCGCTCTACGTCGACCCGGCCATCAGCACCCTGGCGGCGGACTTCTCGCCGGATCCGGTCATTTGCACCACCAGCCGGCGCGAGGAGCTCACCGGCCTTTTGAACTGCACATGGAGCTCGTGCCGCGAGGGATGCACCAGTGACGTGTACAGGTGCACCCACATATACGTCACGTACACGCCGTGGAGCAAGGGCAGGAACACGAGGAACGAGACTGCCACCGGCAAGAATGCCACTGCGAACGCCGCCACGGCCGCTCCGGGCGCTGTCACTACCGGTAGGGTTCATTAATCACGCGGTATTCCCCTCGCCGGTTTTTCCCCGCCTCTTTCCGAGCCTTTTCTATTTCTCGCGCGCCACAGCCCGCTGTGAAATTCCCCACGATAAAGAGATTGCTTTTGTATTCGGCCGACAACATTTCGCGCGCGCGGGCGGTTAAGACGAATGCGTGAAGAACGGTCTCACGTGAAGGCCGAGATTAAAGTACGATCCACGGGAAGGAAGATGAGAGGACGAGAGAGGTGAAAATTTGAATTTGGTAAAACGTGCTTTCCGCCTTGCGAAAATGTGCGAAATTACCGGACGGCCGGCCGGTGATTCATATGATACGCGTCATTGATATGTGCATAAAATTCAAGACGTAATGGACGTAATCCATCAAATTCAAGAACGTAACGAGTATTTCATATTTCTATTCTTTCTTTTCCCTCCCTTTTTATCCCCCTCTCTCTCTCTCTCTCTCTACCGTTGCTTGTAACTGCAAAATAGAATGTAGAATCTGGGAAATGGAAGAAAAATTGGAATCCATTTCAGCTGGGTAGATCAATATCGCAGATTGCATGTGTATCCGACGAGCATAAAAATTCAAATTCCACTGGACGCTAATATTTGCTATGTAAAAAAAATCTCTTGTTGAGCAGTGTCCTCCCCGGGGGACGTCGAGGCGGCGCTCCTAGTGAACATCAAGGGCTGCGGATATCCGCCGACGGTCAATTGTGAGAACTTCACCCGCGAGATGGGTTACGAGGGCGCGAAGTTTCCCTGCTATTACAGCCGGGTGAACGGTAGCATAGTGATGGCGAACTATAATCGCGAGGCACAGGTCGCAATCATCATGCACTTATTCGCGGCTCCTTTCGTAGTGACTCTCGCGACCAGCGTCGCGCTGTGTGTGATGCACTGTGACTGCAGGTGCACGCCGCCACCGCGACATCCGCCACGTGGCATGAGAAGATCCAGGGGCAACAATCTCAGGTAATTAGCTGACCGGGGCGCAAAGCCAAAATGCGCTCCATTTATCGAGAAACGGTGTACAGTTTGTCATTAGCGTAGCGCTAACCACGTTCATAATATACATGTCGTACGGAATGAGTTGAGATATACGACCTTGTTAGTTGAATGGAACGTATTTATTTAGAGTAGAGTAGAGAGTAGAGTTGTGATACACGAAAGATATAAAAAAAAATAAACGCTTTGACACGTGAAAGAGAAAAAAGTTGCTGAAACACGTCACAGAGCGCGGCGGGATCCGCGCACCGATATCGATGATCGGCGATTAACGATCGCGAGCTCGTAATGACGCACAAGTCACGACTAGAAGCTGGTAAATTGGTGTTAATATCGCAATTATTATTGTAATATTACAGCTGCTGCATGAGTATAAAAAATCGATAACGGGTTAGAAGCGTGCCAGAAGTCGTCCGATTTAGAAGGTGTATTTGATGCAGCAAATAAACTTTCTAAACCATACTTAAGAGACGAAGCGACTTAACAAAGAGATGTGTTACTACCAGCGTACTTACACTGTCGTCGTGAAACAATGCTAAACACTTTCGGCTGCGAATACTGCCTTAGAAGGTATCTCAAAGATAATTTTTTCACGAATTGATTGATGTAATCTTATTTAATCTTCGTGTTCCGTTGTGCATACGTGATGTGTAATCGTACTAAATGACTTCGTCAGCACTTCTTAAACATCTTCTTACTTCTACCGCACAAATCAGCAAATAATTGATCTTTATTCGTATTATACGTCTATGATGTATGATTGTCGTGGAATTTTATGAAAACAAGATCATAAATGATCGCCACATTGTCGGTTGCTGGGCTTTCAATTTAAAAGTAATTTGCAATTGTCAATACAGGAGAAAAAGATTTTTTTGGTTTTTGTATAAGTGTTTGTTTGATTTGCATCTGTTTAATATAAACAACATAACTCAATATTAAATATCGTTTTGTTTGAATAAAAATGTTGTTGCCTCACTAGAGTAAACTATGTTGTTTGATGGGAAAAATTGTATTATTCAGAGGAAATAGCATTTTGTTTTCAATAAAAAAAATGATTTCATTATAAGGATGTTCAAGCATAAGGAGAACGCCTAAATATTTTCTTTTTGGTTTTTAATAATATGAGAAATGTTTAGAATATAGTTTAAAAGATTTCGAAATAAAGATGCCGTGAAAGGGAAAATTTTTTATGGTCTTTTTTTATTTTTTTAAGGTCCCTATATTTAGGCCCCTAAGATATTTAGGTTCTCCTCATACTAGGACACCCTGTATGTAAAATATTATTCCACAGAAAAAGAAAGTTCTTTAATATTTTTCCAACATAGTGTTACTTCTAAATAATTTATCGCTTGTGACAATTATTGTAATGTTTGAATGAAAATGGAAAAGAAATGTTATTTATCGTAAAGATACTTATTGCTTGAGAAACCAAAAAATTCTGTTTGTTTAATCAAACATAATTTTTTTACCTTATTACAAAAAGACAAATTTGTTTCGATTAAAGAAATTGTATTAAATCCAAAAAAATCTTTTTGTTGTATGCAAAATTCTATTGAGGCGTGAACAAATTTTGAATTTTCAAAATTCGATCGAACGTTGACTGACTGAGAGACTGATTTCTTATAGTTTCTCTCGAATAAAACGACAGACAAGATGAAACTCGGATTATCATTCGTAAATTTCTTACATAACAGTACAACGAGAATCGGAATCCCATTGGAGGATTCCAAGGTGAACTTTGCCGCTTCTCTCTAAACTTCCGCGATGTCATCATCGTCAGTCTAAATATTTGTAGTAGCTTGCACACGTTGCTGACGTTCTTTCGAGGTAGCTTGTTATACTGCATGCAATTCAAGTTACACGTTCTTTGCTAAGTAGTACCGATGTTATTTCCTAATGCTTCGCTGTAATTTACATGCAAAGCGCCTCGCTGCAAATAGTAGTTCTTTACCGGTCCACGACGGAACACGGAGCCCGCCCTAGGAATAGAAATACACTCTTATCATATCGTTACAGAAGAGAGAGCGAATCGCAGAAACGGAAATCGGATATCGATTCATCATACATAATCTCCGCTAATTAGCTCCAAAAGGCGCACCACGTCTCATTAACGAAACGAGTGCGCGTCGCCGAAAGCCGTGACTGCGGCCTCCGTGCAACGCAATGTGAACACGTAAAAAGAGATCTCTCTCTAGTTATCGATCGGACGCCGTAAGTAATTCCGTGCACTCGGAATAATCGACAGACAGCTCGCACGGACGTTGATGCGACGTTGCGTGAACACGCATAGCAGAGCAGCCACGCGTCACTCGCGTAATCCACACCGTCTCTCTCACTCTTCTTTCTTTCTCTTCATTTCTCCTCTCTCGATCGCGACTCGTTGAGCGAAACAGTGACAAAAGTCGTACTCTTTCATCAAACTCTCGGCAAACATTGTCTTTTCGTTAAAGTATCCGGAAGAAAAACCAGCCAATGTACATATCGCGCAACATATTGTAGCTGCCTCTACGGTTCCGAGGAAGAGTGCTCCAAATTTTATGGTCGTGTGAAAGTTCCGTTGAATGTAGTGCCGCCCGAGGCATACGAGACTCGTCATTACCGACTTATGCCACTATTCCGCGCAACCGTAAACGCATGTCGCTCACACATCAACGTTGCACATCAACGAGACGAAGTGTCGAAATGCGGCGGAGCCGTACGTCGAGGAGTTACCGTAAAATAATGGCCGCGCGGCCAGAGAACAGAGAAAGAATGATGTGTGTCTGTACTTTCTTATTTCTACACATCTCTCACATGCCCGAACCGTAATACATCGCAATACGCGTCCAAGAGTCGTCGTAAACGGATTTATCGAGTATTTCGCGCGTGGCGGCTTTACGACGGTAAAATATTAAACCACGTCCGGCCGACAGATGGAACGAAGGGGCGAACGTGCCGATCGGACTCCACAAGGTGTCCCGGCTGCTTCCGCAGACTTTTTTAAGTACCCCGATGATCCGATGTATCGCGCGCCTTCCTCGTCCCCTCCGGGCTGTTCTCATTATCTCTCTACTTTCCGACGCTTGTCATTTCCACGATGATGGTGTTAGAAGACGGAGGAGCAGGAGTGGCGAGGGTGACAGTCGGCAAATGGCAGCCTCAGCCTCTGTCATACATCAGACTTGGATTAACCAGCGACCCCGCTTCTCCCTCTCTTTATATTTCTCTCTCACTTTCTCCGTCCCATTTCTCCCTCGTTTCTCTCGTCTCTTCTTCTCCGCTTCTTTCCATGAAGCAGTTCGCTGCGAAAATGTGTCGCGTGTGCATTTCCACCGACAGGATGGTATTTCCGCGGTCGGAACTTACCGTTTTTATCTCCCTGGGCCACGAGCTGCCGCACAAATCGTTGTAATATCCGTAATAATGTAATCATGTTTGCTGTCCGGACTAGTCCGGGGATTATCTCGGTAATAGCATGCTATCCGAACGAAACTGTCGTATCGGTTCTCGCGGGCTCGCGTTCGCCCGCTCTGATAACGACGACCTTCCGCTGAAATTGTCGCCGTCGACACTCGTTTCTAAGTAGTGCACAAGTAAGAATAAGATCTCGTTATGAGAAATTTATATAAAAGTTATATGAAGATAGAGAAAATATACACACACACACACACACATATATACATATACGAGAAATAAAATATTGTGTAAGAAAAAAATCTTGTATTGAAAGTGGTATATGATATATTTTTGCATTTTCTTGCGACGCTGACGGGACCAATTCGAGGCGATCGATTAAGTGACAATCTTGCATGCCATGGTGTTTGATCTGCGCTCGACGATACCCTCGAAATTTGTCGTGCACGAGAGAGAGAGGAAACGCGACACCCGATACTGCTGGCGTGTCACCTCCGTTGTAGATCGTGTTTCGTATCAAAGGCGGGTAAAGACGAAGTATAACAAAATCCGTTATCGTATCCTTCCTCAGCTCGTGGAGAGCTTGCGTGGGGAACAGACGGACGGATAAGTTGTCGGCTACCGTCGTCGCCGATGAAACCCAAGGAATTTTCCTTGGGGGCGGAAACGTACACGTTCTTTCTCTCTCTCTCTCTCTCTCTCTCTATCTATCTATCTCCCTCTCTCGTCGTCGTGTTAATGATTACGGCAAACTTCTCGTTCACGCAAGTCTCGTCGACCGAAGAAATTATACGGCGTAAATGGCACCCGTAATCGCGTTACGAAATATACTTCTGTTCCTCGCAAAAAGCAGACGTCTTCCAGCGAGTAAATAATTAGCAACCTCTCTCGAATTTGCAGAGCGCGCGCGAGGCACCGAGAACGCCCTCGCGAAATAACACGTCGTCGCGCGCGCGTTTAATGATTTGTTTTTCGAGGATCGGTCAGAGGCACTCAAGGAGAACGACGCAAAGTAGCACACTTAGGCACACTCGTTAACTCGCGACCACCGAGACGAGACGACATCGTAAGCGGATGAACGGGATGAAAAAAAAAATCCTCTCGAACTTTTAATTGGAACAGCGCGCGCGCGCGGAAGAGCCGCCACTTCGTGTCAACACGTGAATAAAAGAAGGTCTCGGGAACTCATTTTGCGGCGCGGCTGAAGCCTCGACGGCGTATTAGGACAGGAAACGAATGAAATTTTGAGCCGGCATCGGAGACTGTTCCTTTGAATGACACAAAGGACACCCGGTCCGGAAGGAGTTCTCGCGAGTTACCACCAGTTGTATCTTTTATCGCACCCGATGTTATTTATAGTCTTCTTCTCCCCATTTTCTCCCAAGTGTTGGACTTGGCCCAAATATTGCAACAGGGTGCACTTTCGTGCATATGTTAATTCGCGATGTTACTCTCGTTTAATCGGCGCTCATGAATAACGCAAATAATCGAAGAAAATACGAAAGATAAAATGAGCCGAGTTTTGCTCCCAGAAATGGCAGGTAGAAACGATATGTTTTTTTATAGGCTTTGAGCTGCTGAACCTGCTTCTGATTTTTAATTAAAAATGTTAATTTGTCGGGGAAATATTAAAATCAGCTATATGAAGCTATGTTAAGTTGTATTAAATTTTTAACATACCCGTGTATTAATTTAATATATTGTGTTTATTTTACCTCAACAAATTTTGTGTTGTGTCTTGATATTCGAAATGTTTAAGTGTTAAAATGATACATTTTATACTGCAGTGTCGTTAATTTTTTTAATTTTCGACATAATATTTATGTTACTTCTCAACATATTCATCTCGTATTAAATTAACAGTTAAAAATTTGAGTGGACATGTGAAATGTGTTAATTGGAGAAAAATTTTCTACTGTGTAGGCTTTCTACTCTATTTTTCCGTGTTTAGTTCCTCGTTCATCGCTTTTGCTGTTTGTTCTTCGATCCTAAAAACAGTGAACGCAGAATTGTCACTAATTTTCGCACACGTACAAGCGGACAAAAATCGAATAAAAATGTTCATTACGTGACGACAAGAGACCCACTACGACGGAAGTATTTTTCTCTTTAAACTAAAAGTTCCAAAACTGGGAGAGCCAACGGGAGCCAAGTCATTTATTTTTGCATATTTCCAGCGTATTCAATTTCGCTAAATATTTAAAACGCAACAACGTTACGCGCGTCAGTTTCATTTTAAAGTCGCCAATGTGACGCGTAATAAAATCCGGTCGCTCCGTCCATCCGGATTCCGCGATATTCGTAATTAGAGCCGACACATGCATTAAAGGTGCAAATTAGTCGGACTATCGGTGTTACAACCTCATTCTTATTCCGATTGTCCCGTAACTGCGCTTTACTGCGAGAGCGGAATAAATGTCGGAATTTCCAATTATGCGCAAACGACCGCCTTACAAGCAGTGAAGGCTGCTTAATTTGACGTTTGAGCAATGCTCCCTCCCTACGGGCGAAGGCACGAAGGCGGCGGCACGTCTGCTTCGTTTCGCATATCGCTTGCCGAACGGGCATCGTGTAGTCGCGAAAAAAGGGGGTGGCAGTGATCGAGAAAGAGAGATATATAAGGGCAGATCGCTCACTGTCTCGCGCATGCGATGCGGTCTGCCCGCAATTGCATTTGTCCCGCATTTCACAGGAACGCCGCGTGCGCGCGCTGCTTTTACAATGCCATTAAATATTTAGCGATCGGAAACGCGGGTATGATTACTTAAGATCCTACTACGGTGCACGCATCGCTCGCCTTATTTCGCCGTTGCCCCGCGGCTAGCGTGTAGCCGATGACTCACGCTCGATGATAACATCGCGGATGGAATTTTTGCGAGAAAAATAGACGGCGGTGTAAAGCGTAGAATTACTCGTAAGAGTGCGCACATTTCATCCGAAAGCGACATTTCATTTCGCGTTAACCCGTTAGTGGTTTTTCCGCGTAAATTGCGTTTCGATGACGATTCGCGGCACCCCTCCCGACCGTCGCGGTTCTTCCGACTCGCGTAAATTCGGCCGGCGAGTTTGCGCGTGTCAAAACTTGCCTTAATCGCCTTATTTTATCGCGCGATAAGCATCGCGTCATTTCTCGCGACGATCAATTATCGAGTGATAATCCGGACGAGCGTAATTCATAAGCGGCGCATATGCGTACGCTCGGGGGTTTAAGGGTGACCGACTTTAATATAGCGGGCTCCGCTGTGTGCACACGCAAAACGCAATCGCAATACCGGTAGCTACTTAATTGCCCCGTGTTGCACACGATGTATATAATGGCCGCCTCCGACGCGGAGGCGTTTGCGGTAACGACGATACATCGAAGGAAGATTAACTCTATGGAGCTTAACGCACGTCCGGGTTAACCCGGGACGGGGGAGGATAACGGGGGCGATACCGAAAGCGGTATTAATTCCGCAAACTCCTGAGAGAACCTTCCGTTCCCGCGAAATATGTCGGTCCCCGAGGGCTACCGCGTCTTTAGTAACACTCGGATGACTCGGGATTAAGTAGCATTAGCATATGAAATGACTATTTCCGCCTTACAAAATTGGAGCGCGAGATTTGCGTCCGCGGAGAAGTTACACGCTCCTTTCGCGCGCGGGCGTTAGAGGAATATCTACATATATATATATATAGATTGGAACGCCCGACAGGGTAGAAATTCGGGGCACGACTTTGACTCGTTCGAAGAAACACGGGCACATCGATGGCGCATAATCTGTATTCGTATTCATCGAGGAGAAGGGGATCCCCGCCTCTGTGAATAGATGAATCTTAAAAAGCGCTTAATTCCACGGCTCACTCTCGTTTCGTCGGGGTCAACATCGTAATGGGCGCGATGGTACGTCCACTTTCGTGTTTATTATCCGTTTACAAACGTTCTCTCGCTCGTCAAGCGAGTCACGCTCGAGTTCGCTCCTTTTCATCAGGCAGAACCTCTTGAGGAATTGCATGCTCGATTATTATAGCGGTACCCAACTCAATCCATCGTACCCTCAATGGANTCTCTCTCTCTCTTGGTGCGCCCGCTCCGCTACGTCCGCGCTTATTCCCATCTCACGGAATTACAGTTTCGATCAAACTAAATCAGTTCATGACGCGCCTTCGAGGTCGCACATATACACGCGAATCTGTTCTTTAAACACACACACCACCTATACGTGCGCAACCCGTACGTACGATCTTATATCGCGCGGCTCTGCTATACATAGTGGCAGGCGCCGTTGCTCGGTACGATCAGCGTTGGGGAAGCGGTTATCTAGCTTGCCATTAAGCACGATTGTAGTTTAATTGCTTTTGACGTACGTTCCGGCCGTGGAAGCACTTCAGTCCTTTTAAAAGTGAAGGAGAAATTGCATCCGTGACATCGGGAACGAGCGGAACCGCCAAAATGTCACGGGGAAGCCTCCAGTTTCGCGCGATGTTCACGACGGGGGGAGGGGGGAGAGAAAGAAAAGATGGAAAAAAAATGATTAACGTAACCGGGCCGAATGTAAAATCAAATCGGGGGTGTGTCGGGCCGCGAGTTGATCGTTCTTTTTAATAAGCTTCGGAAATCGAAGTAAAATTGATATTACGAACCGAGAAGCGAGGTATGTAAATGTACCTCCACCGTCGCTACCGTTGGCAATTTCTCCTGAAAAAAATTTCCGGGAATTAAAGCGAAAGAGCGAACCTCGTGTTTCGTCGCGGAATCCGGAAAAGTGTCACGAGCACCCCGTCCGAGCGCATCTCGTAATATCGCGGCGAAATAATTCGAGTTAAGATACGCGAAGAGTCGCAACGTACCGTGTTCTCTTGATGATATCTTGGGAGAAATTTCGGAGGTACGTTACTTAGCGGCTTGGAATTATTCTCTGAAATTTCCGCATCGCGATTTCCTTCCCCTCATTTGTAACGGCGCCACCGTTGTTATTGTTTACCGCCGCGCGATACCGCGGGACGCGAGAGTTTGCTGCCGTCCGACTCGCGATGAGGAAAAGTCTCCCGCCATGCCGGAAACAATATGAAGAGCGGAATGCAGGTCATGGCGCGTTCCCTTTGAAATACATTTCATATGTGCCCGCTTCCACCGAACGAGTCTGACTTCTCGCGCGAAGAGGGATTTGCCTTGGCCGGTGGCAGCGCTGTAATTACTTAAATTAAAGGACTTGTCCGCGATTAAAATTAATTAAAAATGTTACTCGCCGCGCTCTCGCCGGCGAGAGGGTTCGCGGGACAATGTGACG